TCCCACCAGCTCTCATGCTGTCCTCAGCTGGGGTCCCCAAGGGCCTGTGTGGGGCAGCGAGGGCAGGTGCCTAATAACCCGTGGCTGAATTCCCCCTACCCCTGCCCCTTCAGGATCTGACGGTGCTCTGCCATCTGGAACAGCTGCTCTTGGTCACCCATCTTGACCTGTCGCACAATCATCTCCGAGCCCTGCCCCCTGCCTTGGCTGCCCTGCGCTGCCTTGAGGTAAAGCATTTATTCCTCCATCGCTGTCCTGGGTGGTCCTTTTCCACTTCCTCCACCTCAGAAGTCCACCCATCCATAAAGAGATGTCCAGGACCTCCCTGCCCCTGCAGGTGACCACCTGCTTTCCCCTCCACCACCCAGCCTGACTCAGGAGCCCTGTGCACTGTAAGCTGATCATCTTAGGTGCCTCTGTTGCTTGTACTAGTCCCAGGCTGACAGCTGCTTGTACCTGCCTTGTACCTCCCTGCCCTCCCTGCCCCCCAGGTGCTTCAGGCCAGCGACAATGTCATAGAGTCTCTGGACGGAGTCACTAATCTGCCCCGGCTGCAGGAATTGTCACTGTCCAACAACTGTATCCTTCTTCTAGGTGCGTTTCAGACAGCGGATAGGGTGAAGTACCACACTGGGGAGGGACAGACAGCAAGCAAAGTGGGTGCTGCCCTGAGGTGGGGGGCAGAGAAGGACTGTGGCAGTGTGAGCCGAAGGGAGATGATAGCCTGGGGCTGTACGGGGCTATCATTGACTTATGCTGGTGGAGATTTGTAGAGTGTGAGTGACTTCCTCAAGCCAAAGTTCACAAACAGGCAGCCTACAAATGTTCTTGCAGACCATTTTTAAAAATAAGGAAGTTTCATATTTTAAAAAATCTAGAACTCTAATTCCTCTTTTAAAAATGAGATGTCAAAGTGACCTTTCACCTGTGTTTCCACTTGGCTGCCCTTGGTTGTTGCTGAATAGTAGGTGCCTCTTTGGACCAGGCCAGGTTTTCACTTGGCCACAATCCCAATCCCCATCAATCCTTCTGATACCACACCTAGCCTGCTTCATGGACTTCCTGCCTGGCTCCTGTGGGTAGGTGTTTGCAGTCCCTGCCAAGAGCCCTACTCCTTGCAGGGAAACACACGAGATGCCTCTCAAACAGACTTCCAGGCAGCAGTCCCCAGCTCTCGAGGGTGCACAGGAGCAGATGCATCAGGGTGAACCTGCCGAGCTTTCCTTGACTCCTGCCCAAGGCCTCCAGCAGCCTGCAGCACTCCAGCCTCTTGCCTCTTGCCCCCGGCTGCTCCACCTCAACCTGCAGGGTAACCCGCTATGCCAAGCAGTGGGCATCTTGGAGCACCTGGCCCAACTGCTGCCTTCAGTTAGCAGCATCCTCACCTAAGGGGCCCTGCCCCCACCCTTGCCCTTTAACTTATTGGGACTGAATAAAGAATGGAGAGGCTCCCGTAGGCTGTCGAGCTGCTGTCGCCACCCTAGATCCTACTGCCATGTATCTTGAGAAGAGAAAGGGAAGAGGCTTGGGATGCAGCAGCCCCCCTCTCTGCTTTCATTGATTGCTCTCCGCTCTGCTGTTCTTTATTATGGGGAGCCAAACCTCAACGTGTGGGGTAGAATTCAGGCCTAGGGCTGGATTTGGGTTTACCTTCTGGTTTGAGGCTGATGCTGAGACTGGGGCTGGGGCCAAGTTCCAGGCTGGGATAGGAATTGGGATCAGGTTCTAGTCTGGGCTGAGCTGCAAAGCAACTGTGTCTCCAGATGGAAGGGATCATAAAAATTTCTACCATGACCCCTGCCACTTCCAGATGTCCTCCTGCCTTGGACCTCATTCACCACAGCTGAGAAAGCTCAGGTGCTCCACGTTCCCAGCAGGAGTGGGCCTTGCTCTACCTGTTAAACAACAGTGTCCTCGTGAATAGCATTCTGCAGTTGAAGAGCCCTTGAAAATACTTGATCCCATTTGATCCTGCCAGGCTCTCCGGGGTGAGATAGTTAGGCCCATTGTACTGATGAGGAAACTGCTGTTAAGACTTGCCCAATTTGCTGAGCGTGTAAGTGCTGGAGCTGAAGTCATCTCTACACCTTGGTCTAGGATTCTAGACTCATGTTCTTGCTTCTGTATTGATATGAAATGGTTGGGCAGAGGCCTGGTCTCAGCTCCCTGAGGTGCTGAGCTGGGTATCTGCTCCCACGGTTTAAACACACACACACACACACCTCTCTTGTCCTACACACACACACACACACACACACACACACCTCTCTTGTCCTACACACACACACACACAAACCTCTCGTCCTACACACACACACACAGACACACACACACACCCCTTGTCCTGACTTTGAAAGCCCGAGGCACCAGGCCTAACACACACACACACACACCTCTCTTGTCCTACACACACACACACACACACACACACCTCTCGTCTTACACACACACACACACACACCTCTCTTGTCCTACACACACACACACACAAACCTCTCGTCCTACACACACAGACACACACACACACCCCTTGTCCTGACTTTGAAAGCCCGAGGCACCAGGCCTCCTGGAGGAAGGAAAGGGGAGTGGCTCAGGGGTGAGGGCACTGAGTCAAACCTTGCTGGGTGGGAAAAAGAAAGATTGATTAAAACAGGAAGAAGTGAGCATGACAAAGGCTTTTTCTGGTTCTGCCTGGGCCCACATGTACTCACACATCCAGACACTCAGGGCCCTGCCCCTTCCTGTATCCAAGGTGACGTGCAAACACCTAGCACCTCAATGGAGCCCTTTGGCTGACCTGTTCACACCTGCCTGGAATTTTGATCTCCACTGGTGTGTCTACTGAGGGTGTTGGAGGTGGGGCAGACCCCACAGCCCCGCAGGTTCCTGGCCTTGGAACTGATGAGAGTAGGTCAGTGTGGGTGTGGAGGACTCCCTACCAGGTCCTAGGGCCTCACTGTCCCCACTTTCCGGGGTGCCTCACTTCCTGATGCATCTCCATACAGCCTCTCCTGTGGTCTGCTTCCTTGTATCTTCTTGCCAACCCTGTTTTCACTGTCTTCTGTTTGATGGCCCATGGGCAGTGCTGGGATACCAGTGGGATGGAAGAAAGAGGCCCCTGGCTGATGGGCCCAAGAACAGAACCCAAGGAGCACCACCCTGAAAACAGCTGCCTCCTCTCTGCCTTGGAGTTGTCTTGGTGGCAGTGGTGTCCCTGGTATTTCTCCCAGCACCAGGGGTGGAGTTAAGATGTACATAGGGCAGGTGCCCGGAGCCGGTTAGTCTGGATTCCCAGGAAGAATTCCAGATTGGAGATGAGGGGGAATCCCTGACTCCAACTGACCAGACACTTCTTTCAGTGAGAGAAGGGGATACTCTGCAACTTAGGAAGGCGGCTTCAGTTTCCATCCAAGCCTGAGTGCAAAAGCCTAAGCCTCCCCCAACCCCAGGTTGTGGGGAGAAAATAAGAGATTGCTTCTACCCTGACCCCCCTAATCCCAAACATGGGAGACACAAGAAGTTGGGGGCAGCTTACTCATGCCAGGGACTGTGGAGCAGCTGGAGGAAGGAGGGACAGATGGGTAGGGGGTCAGAAGATCTGGCAGAGCCAGCAGGTCAAGGGCTAGCCAGTGGAGCCAGACTGAGGACCTGGTTGCTGATGTCACCAGTCTACACCTTGGGATCTCGGGACCTCCCTGGACAGGATGAGTTCCAGGACCGGGCCCATGGGCCAGTTTCACAGGGCAGAGCCTGGCCTGGGCTGCAGGAGCCTGGGAGAGCAGAGGTAGGTCCTGAGCTTGAGAACAGAAGGTCTGCCAAACGGGTGTGGGTAGAAGGGGCTGCCTGCCCCATTGCCCCTGGTGCTTCTCCGTCAGGGAGAAGGGGCCCCTCCACATGTCCAGGCTGGCAGGCATCATCCTGGTGTGGGGTCCATCATACCTATAGGTTTCACCAAAGCCTTCCATTTTTACCCCTTCAGCCCTGACAGACTCCGACCCTGCCTCCGCCTGAGCATCATCCTGGTTCCTCGAAAGGAGAAAGGGGGTGGGGCCGGTCATTTCCCGCCCCTACCTCCGGAGCAGCCCTCAGAGGCCTGGCTGGTTCCCCCAGGGGATGGAGCAACCAGCTTCCCCTTCTTCCCAGCAGCTCGGCCCCGCCCTCCGCCCCCCCATAAAGCACTCACCCAGCCCGCCCCACCCCTCACCTTCCACTTGTGCGGCGGCGTCCAGCCTGTCCGTCCCGTCCCATCATCAGTCTCGACCCGGCCCGGGACTCAGCACTGCCAGGTGAGAGGCTCCGACGGGCACCGTGGAGCCGTCTGCGGCCCGCGCCGAGGTCCGCCCCAGCGAGGTGGGAGGCATGCCAGCCCATACCTGCCAGCCCCAGCCGGGCTGCCCACCCCACAGCCCCCACTCCGCTTTCCCTGGAAGGAGCTCGGGTTCCAGGCACCTGCCACACACACACATCCCTCGGCAGCCCAACGTGCAGTTTGCGCCACCGAGGTGGGGAATGCCAAGGACCCCAGGCCCCCGACACCACCCACCTGTCTTGTGGGGAGCATTGAATGGGGGGTTGTCTGTTAAGAAAGGGTCGTAGAGGCTGCTGGACCTCGAGACTAAAGATCTGGCAGGTGGAGGGAGGCTCTGGTCTGTGCAGCTGGGTCTTGAGACTGTGACAAATGTCCACACAGGAAACTATATGCATTTCATGGGATTGGTTCTTGAGTGGATTTCTCTATTAGGCGTCTGATTTTTGGATGTGGTTCGGTAGGTGTCTGTGGGGGGGGGGGAGCTTTTCTCTTCAGTGTAGGAAGCTTTCTCTGGGTGAATCTGAAGGGAGTCTTTGGGGAGGGCTTCTGGATGTGTCTGGGGGAATCTCTGGGTCAAGGTCAGATTGTCATCTGGCCGGGACTGAAGCAGCTCTGAATGCAGGGTTTCTGGGTGGGCTGGCTGAGGTGTTTTGGGTAAAGGACCCTCCCCTGCCTCTTCCTCGCAGGCAGGATGGACGGTCCTCGTTCAGACATGGGCCGCTGGGGCGGGAACCCCTTGCAGCCCCCTGCCACACCTTCACCAGAGCCAGAGCCAGAGCCAGACAGACGTTCTCGCAGAGGAGGCTGTTCCTTCTGGGCTCGCTGCTGTGGCTGCTGCTCACGCCGTGGGGCTGATGATGACTGGGGGCCTGAACCCTCTGGCTCCAGGGGCCGAGGGTCCAATCGAAGACCTGACTCCAGGGGCTCAGACTCCCGCCGGCCTGACTCCCGGGGCTCAGACTCCCGCCGTCCTGGCTCCCGGGGCAGTGGTGTAAATGCAGCTGGAGATGGCACCATCCGAGGTGAGGCTGGGCTGTCCACCTTAGTTGATAGCTGGAAGGCCTTAGTGGGACCTGAGACTCATGCTGGCATCTCTGGGGGGCTGGGATCCCATGGGGGCTTGGCTGACCTAGAGCTGTGGCCTTGCAGAGGGCATGCTGGTGGTAACTGGGGTGGACTTGATGAGCTCGCGCTCAGACCAGAACCGCCAGGAGCACCACACAGACGAGTTTGAGTACGATGAGCTGATTGTGCGCCGAGGGCAGCCTTTCTGCATGGTCCTCCTCCTGTCCCGGCCCTACGAATCCTCCGATCGCATTACTCTGGAGCTGCTCATCGGTCAGTGGGGCCTGGAGTGGGAGGATGAAGGCCCTAGATTTGGGAGTAGGGGCTGGCATTAGGGTCAGAGAGATCTTTAGGCCCCTCCCCTGCCCCACTTCTCACCTCTGCCAGATAAGGCAGGTGCTGGTGCATGAGTGTGCCCCTGGGGGTGAGTCTCAGGAAGGTGTTGGTGTTGCGGTTCTCCCCAAGCTGGCCCTTCTCGAGCCCGCAGGGGCATCTGTCTCAGGTACTTCCTCCTCGCAGCCTGCCTGTGTTGCCTTCAGCTTTGAAGCCTCCCCATGTCCTTCCTTCTGGGTCTGCTCTCTTTCCCCGGGGTGTGGCTAGTTCTCTCTCTCTGTCCAACTCTGTTTCTCTCTGTCTCTGTATCTCTGTCCCCATGGCCCAGGGCAGGTGCCTCCCGCACTGCGTTGCTAGCTGGCCGTTGCCTGCCCAGGCTGGTGATTATGCTGCTGCCGGGGGCGGGCGACTCCTCCTACCCTTTGATTAGGGCCTAACCTTGCCCACCCCAGCCTCTAATTTCCCAGGTACCCCCACCATCTCCACCAGGGGTGCCCCGGCCTCTGGAAGCTGTAGCCCCGGGGAGCAGGCAGGGTTGGCCTTTGGGATCTGGACTGCCCTTTCATATGGAACAGAGGGCCCTGCACCCAGCCAGGATGACTCTGCTCCTCCAGCCCAGGCACTGGGACAGTCAAGCAGGCAGAGGGTGACAATGGCCCTGGCCTCTCCTCCCTATGTCTGAGTTCAGTGTCAGGGGAACAGGTTTGGGATGTCGGACTGGGGCCCTGCCCTGACACGCGGGCAAGCATCGGGCGGGGACAGAGCTGCTCTCTGAGGGAGACTGTCACAGACTAAGGCAATGGCCCAACTCAGGGACACACACACCAGCTCATACACACTTTGGGTGGGGCTGGGAGAAGTCCACGGCCCCATTCCTTCTCCTTAGGGAGGCCTCGCCAGCTCACTGCCACTTTCCCCACTCTAGGTAACAACCCTGAGGTGGGCAAGGGCACCCACGTGATCATCCCAGTGGGCAAGGGGGGAAGTGGGGGCTGGAAGGCCCAGGTGACCAAGGCCAATGGAAACAATCTGAACTTGCGGGTCCACACCTCCCCCAATGCCATCATCGGCAAGTTTCAATTCACGGTCCGCACACACTCCGAGGCTGGAGAGTTCCAGTTGCCCTTTGACCCCCACAACGAGATCTACATCCTCTTCAACCCCTGGTGCCCAGGTGAGCCAGCTGGGGTCAGGAGCAGAGGCTGGGTGGGAGAGAAGGGCAGGTCAGGGCTGGGTGTCTGGGTGCCTGGTTCTAGGAGAAGCCAGCCTCCCATTGTCCAGGTGAGGGTAGCTTGGCCCAGTGTAGGCAGGTGACCAGTCCGAGGTCACGAAGCCAGCCTCACCTCTCCTGGTGAAGGGCCCTGGCCACAGCCCGCCTTGTGCCACCATCTCTGTCATGCCCCCTCCATCCTTCCTGAGAGCAATCCTGTCAGACTAGAGGCATCCCCTTGTTCTCCTCTCTGGTCATGAATCCTGCAGAACTGGCCAAGGGGCAGGTGGGACCCAGGGAAAGAGCTGGAGGGACCTAGGTATGTGTCTTCTGGGGACACAGAGGACACTGTGTATGTGGACCATGAGGACTGGCGGCAGGAGTATGTGCTTAATGAGTCTGGCAGAATTTACTACGGGACCGAAGCACAGATTGGCGAGAGGACCTGGAACTATGGCCAGGTATGGCTGGCCAGGATCACGTGGGCTCAGGGGAGCGGGGATGGAGGGGAGCGGGCTGGGGGGGAGGAGCGGAGTGAGGGGAGGAGCAGGATGCTGTCCCAGGGCTGGAGCTCAGCCACAGCAGGCCGCAGTCATCCCTGCCCCCTTCCTCCCAGTTTGACCATGGGGTGCTGGATGCTTGCCTATACGTCCTGGACCGGCGGGGGATGCCGTACGGAGGCCGTGGGGACCCAGTCAGTGTCTCCCGGGTCATCTCTGCCATGGTATGCATCCTCATCACGTGTCTGTGAGCCTTACTGTGTGCCTGTCTGCTGCTTCCCCGGCCCTCATCCCAGTCCTGCCCTCTCTGGATTCCTGTCGGACCCCCAAGATTCCTCCCATTCTTATCCTTGCAAAGGGTATTGCAGGAAGGGGTCCCACTCCTCCTCTTCTCTCCCTTGCCTGCCCCCCACCCCACCCCACTCTTTCTGGCTCCTGTCCCAGCGCCTGTGGAATGTAGGGCTAAACCCAAAGGAAGGGGTCCCACTCCTCCTCTTCTCTCCCTTGCCTGCCCCTCACCCCACCCCACTCTTTCTGGCTCCTGTCCCAGCGCCTGTGGAATGTAGGGCTAAACCCAAAACTTGGCACACCCAGGGTTCACATTCCTGTGCCAGAGAAGAGATGGGAGGGGGCAGATTGTTCAGGGGAGGGGTGGGTAGGGTTCAGGCTGATGTCTACATCCTGAGGTATTTACGGGTGAGGGGTGGTTGTAGGGTCAGAGGCTGGACAGGGGACCCCACGGCATGTACTGAGACCCTCCCCAACTCGGACTCACCCCATCCTGGGCAGGTGAACTCCCTGGATGACAATGGAGTCCTGATTGGGAACTGGTCTGGCGATTACTCCCGAGGCACCAACCCGTCAGCGTGGGTGGGCAGCGTGGAGATCCTGCTGAGCTACCTACACACTGGCTATTCTGTCCCCTATGGCCAGTGCTGGGTCTTTGCTGGTGTGACCACCACAGGTAGTGGAGGGCCTGGGCCCTACAAGGAGGGAGGGAAGCCAGGTTCCACCCTCACCCAGCCTGGCCCAGCTGTGGCTACAGTGCAGTGTAAAGGCAGGGGTGGGTGGTAGGCTGGCCTTAATTATCATTAATTAATGTTAACAACAGAGAGAAGCCTAAGGGAGAGGAGGGAGAAGGGACAGGCAGGGACTGAGCCAGGCAAGTGGCCTGGCTTCCCCTAACCTCAAGTACTCCATGGTCCAAAGGCCTCCTGACCCTACTGACCCCTGACTCTGGTAGTCCATGCCCAGCTTTGCAATCCCAGTTGCCCTTTCCCTCTTGAAATTCCTGACCTGGTGCCTTACCTGCCCTCCACCCTGTCCTGATCTCCCACCTGGCTCCTCTACAGTGTTGCGCTGCTTGGGTCTGGCCGCCCGCACTGTCACCAACTTCAACTCTGCTCATGACACAGACACATCCCTCACCATGGACATCTACTTTGATGAAAACATGAAGCCACTTGAGCACCTGAACCATGATTCTGTTTGGTGAGGCCAGGGCTGGGGCTGGCCTGCCCATCCTGCTGAGGAACAGTGACCTGAGGCTTGGAAATGGAAGGCAGGCAGGGAGGGTGCTGGGGGCCTTGGACGAGAGTCTCAGACCAGGCCTCCCTCCATGTGCACCCAGGAACTTCCATGTGTGGAATGACTGCTGGATGAAGAGGCCGGACCTGCCCTCGGGCTTTAATGGGTGGCAGGTTGTGGACTCTACGCCCCAGGAGACGAGCAGTGGTAAGGCTCGCCTGCCTGGCTCCTGGACACCACCCTGGCCCCCTCCCCGTACCCCTCACCTGGATAACAAACCACAGTGTCAGTGCTGGCCTGGGCCTGAGAGCCAAGTCTTCTAACCCCACAGTTTCTTTTCTTTTCTTTTTTTTTTTTTTAAAAA